GCCTAAACCATTGGTTGAAGTCATCAACAAGAATGGTGGAGCTACTCATTACTGAGTCCTTTTTTTGACACTTTGGTTTCTGTTTTGGGGTTTGTTTGTTTTTTGAGCTATGGTCTTAAACTTTTGATCAGCTGAAAAAATCATGTTTGAGTGTAAATGCAGTTTTCAGAAAATTCCCTGCTCAAAAGTTCTTGTCTCTTGCACTGATTTCTTCTTTTAACATTGTGAAGCTCTACTTAGAACCTTCTTAAGATCCAATAGTGCAAAATGCAAATTCTTGCACTTTTTTGACTGGTCTTAAGATTTTGATCAGGATTGTATCTGTTCCTTTCAGAAATCATAAAAAAAAAAACTTCAGTAAGTTTTAGGCCATTAATAGTTTTATTTAATATACATGTTTTGAGGGGCAAAAAAAAAGGGTTATGCTTGTAAATTTACAACATAAGCTTTCACGGCGTCGAGGTCTTTGTGGTTCTTGTCATCATTTGATGTTCTCCAGTCCCTGATGGGGAAAAAAAGGATAAAGACACAATTTTTTTCAGTGTAAATCTGCATAAAATACAAAACTGCACACGATCTCTGACTACACTCATCTGTGCTTCGGTAAGGATTGATTAAAGTTCATTATAATGTGTTTTAATACACCAACTGTTATTATTTTTTATTAAATAAGTGCATAGTTAGCTTTTGAAAAAAGCAAATCAACCTTGGATTCGTAGAATCGACCCGTTCCGGACACTCGCCTGTCCCTGTCCAACAGGRACCACTGCCAATGATTCCGAGCGATCCTTTGTTGCTGCAGGGGAACCAGAAAACTTTAGTTCAAATAAAAGATGAGTTTGTAACAAGTTAATGAAACAGAATCGTCCTCTCACTTTTCCTCCGTTGGTGTAACTATTGATGCGTGCGATTGCAATGCCAGGAATAGACAAACACACCCACATAGCTATCACACCGGGGAGAATTTCATACCACATGTTGATTCACTTTAAACTCCCGACGTCCAAAAACAAAGACTGAGGAAAAAAGGTTGCCCGAAAACGGTTTATTTTGCTAGGACGCTACCAAAATGTCGACCATCCCAAATGACCTGTTTTCCGCTCCGAGAACAAATACTTCCTGTTGAAGCTTTTCAAAATAAAATATCGAAGTTCTCAAAACAAAATAAATAAATGTAACAAAAAAACGCCAACTAGATTATACAGACGATATCACAGCGGAGACGATGCGCTCAACTTAAAGCCTTTAATATAAATGTTAAACATCTTCACATATAAAATACAGTTTACGTGAGTTTCTAAAATGAATTTTAAAAGCAAAGCGAACACTCACTTGGTCAAAAAAAAAAAAAAAATCCTAAAATAAACGCTAGAGCGCCCCCTTGTTGTGGTCACGTTGAATTGCAAGTCCAGTCGTTTTACAAAGAGGAAGTTACGGGGCGTTCAGTTCGGCTGTTCCTGGCTAACTTGCTAAAAAGTAAACAAGTCTGTTTGATGACATGAGAAAAACAACTTCGAACTTTGCAGGTTTTCAGCGATGAAGGAAGACAAAGAAAACACTCGACCGAAAGAGAAAAGAGTGGAGATAAAATGTGAAGACGGGGAGAAGACGGAGAGGCCTAAGGAAAAGGAGGCCTTGACAAAGGTAAAAGTTGCTAGCTAAGCTAACGTTGCTACGAGCTATCAGTGTCAGTTATGGKTAAAAGTTTCAGCCTGCTTTTAACTTCGTGTTCGAGTAGTTTTAATATTGTCTACCTACCTTTTATAGCATATTTTTACTTGACAACAACCAACTTTAAAATAAATAACTCAAGTTTGCATTTGGTTGTGTCTTTAGTGTTTAATTTAAACTGTCAACATGTTTTTACTAGAAGATCGTAATAAGACGATTACCACCRAGTCTGAGTAAAGAGGAGTTAGAGGAGCAGCTGCAGCCTCTTCCAGAGGTGGACTACTTAGAGTTTTTCTCCAACGACACCAGGTGGGTTTAGCTGTAAAACCGCCTTATTGTTAAAAAAAATACACAAACTTTTCCTCTTGCCTTTTTTTTTTTTTACATCACACATAATGTCTTGTTCTTTCAGCCTCTACCCCCATCTCTTTGCAAGGGCCTACATCAGTTTTAAAAATCAGGACGACATAGTTCTTTTCAGAGATCGATTCGATGGATATGTGTTTATAGACCACAGAGGTAAAGAGGGACATTCAAGTTAAATAGACAACAATAAGCGTTGATTTAAGAGTGGATCAAATACATAATTTGTTTGTCCCTGTATGTTTTTTTTTTCCCAACAGGACAGGAGTACCCTGCCATCGTGGAGTTTGCACCTTTTCAGAAAATCGCCAAAAAAAGAAGCAAGAAAGACTCAAAATGTGGAACAATTACAGAAGGTATATTTTTACAAGTTTATAGGCTTATTTTTTTATTATATTAACAAAAATAACTTTGAAGATGACAGTTTAGTACAGATTCCAAACTTGTCATCATTTTTTTCTGCTGTTCTTTACATTAAATCAAAAGTTAAAAAAAATCTTCGCTTTGAGATATTTTTTAATGAAGTATTATAC